ATCCTCTAGTGGTTCGCGATTGTAGCATAGGCCTTGATTGAGGGTTGTTGTGTTACATTAATTAAATACTTAATAGTTTCAATATTTTTTCTCCAGAAGCTAATTCTATCATCTCTTGCCTCCAAAAATTAATCCTCTGTCTATTGTTTTTCTTGTTCGCCTTTTTTTCGGCTTCCACTAATTAAGTCCTCAATTAACACGAACTGCCGCCAAATAATTGTTCAAATTAATTTAGTTGCCTGTTATGTCTTACTGCTCAAATTGTGCGCCACTTCGTGCGCAATTTTTGTATCAAGCTTGCTGAAACGGCGTCATTATATACTAGTAGGTACAAGCGTTGTTTATTTTTTTGTTTTTTTTTTGAGTTAGAAATGACGTGGCGTCTATTTTCGCTAAACTTCGTTATATTTAATATTCTATTTTTCCTCTTCATTGACTCTGAATATTAGTTAATCTTTGGAGATAATAGATTTTTCTCTCTTGTAGGGTAGTATCTAATATCTTAAGCTTAGATAAATCAGTTACACATCATTAATTTTTATTACTGAATTGCGTATGACAATGTTTTCTGGGTGAAGATTAAAGAGCTTTATCCTTACTTCTCCATTAAATGATTTAGGCTGAGCAGTTTTTGTATTCATTTACTGTCGAATGGTAAAGAAGCTCAAAAATATTGTTTCAGAGTTTAAGACAACAGAATTTAATCGTCCTAGTGCTAAATAAATTTTCCGTGAAATATATAAATTAAAATTTTTAATGTATCTGGAAAGCAATTATACTGAAAACAATAAAAAACATTTGGTTGCAACAAAAAAAAAGAAGATATTTTCGCGCTATATTCCACTAGAATATCGATAATAATTATATTTAGTATATAGTAACTCGGATATTTAATGGACCTATTTTCGGCATTAAGCTAGTTGCAATAGTAACCAGATAATACGGTCGTCATTGTATAGACATAACGGTAGTTGTATTTAATGCTGTTTTATTATTTTGGAGTATTGTTTTTGTTAACAATTCCTCTTTAAGTCCTGTGTGAGCTATATAAGTTGGCTTCCTAAAATCCTCTGTGCTTGTTGCTCAATATCCTTGACTGGCTTATAGTTTTAAGTTTCAGTTACAATATTTTGTTGGTGTTTTTACTCTTGTTATTATAAATAATGTTCTATCTCTGCGCTTTACAGCTGCTTTCTCACCTTTTCCTTTTAAACTTTGTTGCAGTTATTTATTTTTTCTTATTTTTCTAAATATCTCTTAATCACACTGCTGTTGTAATTACAATTGTAATTCTTCGTAATTAACCTTTTCAGCAGTTTTATAAATATTTATAGCACTCGGAGCCCTCTTTGATCCTCTTTACTCTCGGTTAGAGTCAAAATTTTCGCTGCGCCCAGTTATGTAGCATTACTATATTATTTATATGCACTCTGTATACTTTTAGGCGCCTTACGCTTTATTCTTCTTAATCTGCTGCATACTTTTTAGCGTTGTCATTATAAGTTCTCAGCATTAAATTGCGCCAACTGCATGAAAAATAGAAGAATGTAGAAAAACTCGTTAGCTGTTTCTAGAATTTTTCTATAAATTCGTTTGTATGCGTGTGTTTGTATATGCATGTGTGTTTGAATGTGTGGCCGAATTGTTCTATTCATTGTTGCTTTGCTTTTTTCGTGTTGTTCTTGAGTACAATCATAAATACAAATTTATACATACAGACATTATAAGTGTTGCATACTTTTCTGCGCATCCATTTTTTACATAAGCACATACATATATACAGCTTGCGTGTGCTTATTGGTCATATTCTATGTGTGTGTAGTGAGCGTGCTGTGGTAATTAGTGCGTGCGTGTAAATTTTCTGTTGTAACGATTAACATGAATTGTTGCCAATTTCTCGTTTTGTTAACTGCCATGTTATTGTTGTTGTTATTATTCTTACACACACATACATATATATTTAATAGGTACAATATGCATGCTTTGTTAGTTTGTTGGTAGTTGTGTGCTTACATGCGACAATAATATTTTTAGTGTATGTTTGTTTTTGTTGTTGGTGAAATAAGAAAGTGTAATACGCTCATAGGGTCGGTACGAAATACATTTATTATCATTTAGGTACGATAGAGATAAATAAATACGCAGAGTTCTTTACAAACTTTTATATATTATATAATTATGAAAACAAAAATTGCCAAGAAAACAAAAATAAATAAAAAAAATATATATCACAAAAACGTCTGAGACGTTATTATTCTTTTTTTTTTTGAGAAGGCCTTTGATATAGAGCTATGACTAACTCTGACATTTTCTGTACTCACTCGCTCAACTTAATCAAGCCCTCTACAGCAGATTAATCGAAAGATATCTACGGTTGTACTCTTGATATAAGATCTTAATTATTACTGACAGCTTAACACACTTTCAAAATACGTGATGACATTTTCTTAAGTCAACTTAATCGCAGACATATACGGGACTTTAATAGAATTGTCAAATATCACGGGATATTCGAAATTGATATTTTAAGAGATTTTCAAAATGCTTTATAACATCTTCGTTATAGAAATGAACCAAAGCCAACTGCAGAATATCATTAAAAGACAAATTTCACTGTATCTTTGAGAAGGCTCTTCACATTGGATCGTAAGTATTACTGAAATATTAAAAGATTTGAAAAGAACTTAATAACACCTTCTTAACTGATTTGGATCAGAGCCAGCTACAAAACATAAATAGAAGGACTGAAAAATATCATCGGTATCTTGGAGAAGTCTCTTGTAGTGGCATCGTAAATGCTACTAACATTTTAAGAGACTTTAACATAGCTTTATAACACCTTTTTGATTTAACTGGACTAAAGCCAACTAAAGCACATTAATCGAAGAATATCACCGTTGTATTCGAGAAGACTGTTGATTTGTGTCATCACCCAAAAGATTGACAATGAGTTACACTTTGCTAACATAATAATGAATTAATTGAAATTATTCTGACGTAATCTCTGAAGATTAAACTCATATACGTTATCAAAACCCTATACGTAAAATTAATTAAGTTTTTAATCAGCAACGTTGGTATTAAAATATATAATTAAACTATATCCATCATTCTTTTTATGCCCAACATAGATATCTAAATAAGTCTTAAATTTTCAATTTTTACCAAAATATACCATTTTTACAGAATCCCTTTAAAGTTTCTTATAAGGTCTATATTAATTTAAGAGAAGATAAGTTCACAAACTGGTTTTAATTTATGAGAACCATACCCCATATGGTATCATTCTGTCTCTATACGTTCTCCCATTGCTTGTCTAAATAGATATTTTCTTCCAAACATTTCCCTTGAAACTTTTCTCCCAGTTTAATTCTCACATTTCTAGTGTAATACTCTCAAAACTTCAAGATAAAAATTACAATGTATTTTCAAAAAAATTTGAATCCTTTAGGGAACTCAACAGTTGAAATTATGACCTTTGAAAACATTTTTTCGTTTCCAAGTGCTAATATTATTCTCTANTTTTATTGCCATGGCAACTGCGGCTTTTTAAACCTTCAGAATGTGCGCTCTTCTCACTTTTCTTACTCAAGTAGCGCTGTTAATATTTTCTGCCAGGCAATTTATTCAGTGTGTGCGTTGGCCTAGTGTTTGGGTTGCTTTTGTGATTCTTTAGTTTCACACAGTACTTTTGTGCTTCTATTTTTTCGCTTAATTACTGCGCTAATTATATGCGGCTTAAGTGCGAGTACATGTTCATTTTCATATATTATGTAGATGGTTATACATAAGTAAGGATGTAGATAGTATATGTTAGCAATTTTTGATTTTGTTGTAACACGCTGAACAATTAGTTGAGCTGTGCTTAGATAGGTATTTGCATGATTAGTATTATGTATTAGAAGAGTTCTCAAATTGAGGGATATAAATTGTTTCGACCGCTTAAACTTCAACCTCTACCTCTATACTATTAGTGTAATTTTTTCGATTCGAAACTAGAGTGTGTGTCACAAAAATGTTAATATTCGGACTTCTCGTCGGAGGCCGCAGAAATTATTCTGATTCTTCCCCTTAGTACCTAGAAATTATTTCTTTATACTTTTTCGCCTGTATTGCGAATGAAGTTTAATCCTTATGTAGAAAAAATTCATTCTTTTGAAGAGAGTTACCTCCAATTTTAATAGTCTGACTAAAGCTACCCTCATTCATTTCGTGTTTCCAATAGACATACCGTCGAAATGGGTTAAAGAACATTACTCTGATTCTTCTTTTCAGTATCCAAAATCAAACTCTGATTCATCTATATTTTATTTCCGGAATTTAATTCTTATGTAAAAAAATTATTATCGTCAGGAGAGTTATCTGTAATTTTTGTGATTTGACAGGTGCGATAACTTAGGTCTAGGTACGATAACTTAGGTCTAGCTCTCTTTTATAAAGAATTATCTTTGTTTCTAAAAAAAACTCGATGACTTTGCGTAGTAGTCCCATGCGCTATCATCGACTTGTTTTATCGGAACTGCTCAGATCGGATGCTTACTTAGATGTGGCGTCTGCCCACTCATCATCAGCGTTTCCTGAAATTATGATTTTTAATTAAGATTTGTATACCTGGAACAGTTGAGATAAGGAATTATAACCTTGGATCTGGTTTTTGCCTTAGACAAACCGAATCAGTAGTAATATTCAAATAATAGTGCATTATGCTTGGTGAAATAAGCGTTAATTAATTTCCCAGAAATTCTCGTAAATTCGCAACTACTCATGCTTCGAGCCCGCAAGTAGTTCACTTTAATAATTTTAGAAATTTACCAACGGTGGAATCCTATTGAATGAAACTGTGACATCGATTATACTCGTTATAGAAGATATACCCCTAAAAGTGTTAATGAAATAAAATAAAACCCAATTCTGATTTCCCTTGCATATGCCAAGAATAAAATAAAGAATGTTGCCTACATTTAGGGTTGGCAGTTGATGCTAATGAAATTTCACAGTATATATAAATATATTTTGATAGTATATATCCATAAAAAAAAAAGTATTTTGCTGAGGTTTATAACAACAATACTACACGACAGTGATAACTTAGGTCCTGAAGTGCTAATTCGTCCATTGGCAGTATAAAACGCGGCTTTAACGCGCGGTGTGATTGCTGCTTTTCTCCTACTTCTACATTTGCTATTGTTATAAGAAACTTAAAAAGGTTCAGAGATGCCACAAAATTATAGCTGCTCAGCGGTAGAAAACTATGAACAAACTAAAAATTTAAGTTCGCCAATAAAAATGTGCGCAAATTGGTTGCAAAAGCGGAGGCAGTCAGTTGAGCGCCTAAAAGTAGGCAATGCTGCTACTTTCACGGTTGTTGATTGTGTAGGTTGCGCAGCGGTGATTTATGTGCATCCCTTGGGTTAGTTTATGTAACCGTGTGTATATATATGTATGTTTGGAGCTATTTTTGCGTATGACATCTAGTGAAATTTAACGTCTGCTAGCTTGAAAGCGCAATTTATCATTCTTTATGCACATTTCAACGGGTAATTTTCCACTTGAGAAACTTCGAATGGAAGCATAATTTCTGCAAGCGAAAAATGCAATTGATAAAAATGGCAAACAATATGCAGAGCAGCATTCTGCAACAACGAAAATTTAAATCAATCAAGGATGTGCGCTGGATATATGGAAATGCTCCCCACTGCTCAACTATAGTAAGAGTGTGTCAATTAGATTTAATAATTGCCTGAATAATTGCTTACAAATTCAGCGCGCTAACTGGCATTTGTGCAGTTGCTGCTAACGGTAACATCGTGCTATTATTATTAGTTTATATTAACTCAGCAGCGCGCTTAATCCTTTTTGCCTATAATTAAATTTACACTTCCTGCAAATAAGTTCTAGAACGCCCACGGACAAAGGTGTAGAATCAATAAGCGTGCCAACTTGTAGCGGTAACACCAACACGCAAATGTCTTTTTCACACATACATACACATACTCAGTTATATATAGCAGAATATCCTTGCGTGCAACTGTTTTTTGCTGCTGTTGTGAATTGTCGGCCCCCTTGGTGACATAAGAATGGACGCTTAAGGCCCTACGGTTATTCGCAGTGACCCGCATATCGTGTGCATTGAAGCGGGAAGAGGCCATTTTTATGCGCTTGGTTGACGCAGTGTGGCATGGTGGGAAAAATAAATTTCCGATACTCACAAATTCACTCGCATGCAAGCGGTGATAAAAAATTAAAAACTTGTGTTGCAAAAATATTTCCTTCCGCCATTTCACGTTCACGTGAAAAATTTTGCTTTATTTATTAACAATTTTTTTTTCATTGTGTATTTTTTTAATTTTTATTTACTTTTTCAATCTTTATTTAATTTTTTCTTATTTTGAACACTTTTTCTCCTGGAATTTCCCCCTTATTTATAACCGTTATCGCTAAGGCGCGTGTGTTTGTATGTGTATCTCTTCCGCTATATTATCTTTTGGGGCGCTCGCAGATTGTGTATGATTCTTCATTCTGCAGA